GTTGCAGCAAGGTTTTGGTGGGCTGATGTGTGCGAGAGGGAGCAGGGGAATTGGTGGGTATTTCATTGCTAAATCTGTTATGTGTGACTGATAAGTGATAAGTCATGCTGACAATCTTTGTATGCAAGGCTATAAATCATACAATTTGTAATTTGTGTTCATGGTCCTTAGCTTTAGTTTTCTATGTAATTGTATATGAATCTGACTTGAATTTCCTCATAATTAATGGTCCTACACCATAGATTTGAGTGTGAGATTGAAAATGAAATGTCCACCTTTGATTGTAGTGCTTCACATAGTCAAATTATATCATCAGCAAAACAGACGGGACATCAGTTTAAAAACGTGTTTCTTAGATAATAATTTATCATATCAAGTGATTTTAGCGTGCCCATGTTACCAAATTCTCCATTGGAGATTTTTTCTTTGTTTTTTTTTTTAGAGTGAGAGAGAGAGATCAACAAAAAATGAGGTGTAAGTACGTAGTATAATAGTTATAGAAATATATATATTTCTCATGATTTTTATTTAAAAGAGTAGACCTGTATAGAAACATGTTGAAACTCAAAAATGTAATTAGAAAAGACACTGTCAACTCCTTACTAGCATACCATGTTTTTCAGATTTTCCAGCTGTACCACTTGACAAAAACTGACTTAAAACCTTATATAATATTTTTAGATTATTTTTCTAATATTTTTCCTTAACACTAGATATCCCATTCTCATATTTATGTTGCTTCATATTTTGATGTATGTAGTTTCCTTAACACTAGATATCCTATATTACATATGTGTGTATGATTAACAATGTCGTTTAGCAGTTAGGATCATGGAGAAATTGAATCAAAAATGGATGTATGAGAGATTAGAAGGTCGACTACTAAAAAAAGAGTTCACAATTGGCATGCGAGGGATTATTGAGTTTTCTAAACAACACCGTGATTTTAAAGAATCTTCAAAGATCAGATGCCCTTGTTCAAAGTGTAAAAATGTTCCTTTTTTAGATGTTGAAAGTGTAAGAGAGCATTTGTATAAAAAAGGATTTCTTAATGACTAATATGAATGGGTTTGTCATGGAGAGGATTTTGATTCTTTAAAAGCATCTGATGAGCCATCAGATCCGTATTTTGACATGATTATTGATGCATTTGGTCAAGTTGATGGTGATCCAATGCATGAAGATATTCGGAATGTTGAAGAAGAACCTAATCCTCAAGTTAAGAAGTTTTTTGAGATGTTAGCGGCCGCACAAAAACCATTGTATGAAGGAAGTCGATTATCTGTTTTAGAGATGGCTTCAAGGATTACGAGCTTGAAGTGTGAATACAACTTGCCCCATAGATGTGTCGATAGTATTTCATCGCTCATTAGTGAAGTAATTCCTGATGAGAATTCAATGTCCAAGACGTACTATGACACTAAAAAGGTGGTAAAGGGCCTTGAACTTCCTCATGAGAAGATACATGCATGCCCTAAAGGATGCATGTTATTTTGGAAGGATAAAGCTCACCTTGAAAAGTGTTCGAAATGCGGGGGGGAGCGTTATAAGAAGACTTCTCGTGGAAAATGTGTGCCGGCCAAAGTGTTATTCTACTTCTCGATCGCGCCAAGGTTGAAAAGGCTCTATGCGACTAAAGACCTTGCACATGAAATGCAGTGGCATTCACAAAATCCTAGGGTAAGTGGAACACTCGCCCATCCAAGTGATAGTGAAGCATGGAAACATCTTGATAACACAAACAAGGATTTTGCAAGTGAGCCCCGTAATGTTAGATTGGGTCTATGCACAAATGGTTTCTCAGCACATGGAAAATTTGGAAGGCAATATTCTTGTTGGCCAGTAATTGTTACCCCATATAACTTGCCTCCATGGTTATGTATGAAGAAGCCGTTTATGTTTTTATCCTTGCTCATTCCGAGTCCTAAAAACCCAAAAGGGAACTTGGATGTGTACATGCAACCCTTGATTGACGAACTGAAATATTTATGGGAAGTAGGTACAATGACATATGATGTATCCACAAACAAAATTTCAAGTTACGAGCTGCCCTTTTATGGACGGTTAGTGACTTTCATGCGTTTGGGATGTTATCTGGTTGGACTACATCGGGAAAGATGGCTTGTCCATACTGCATGGACAAGCATAGATCTTTTTGGCTAGACAACGGCTCTAAAGTATCATGGTTTGATAGTCACCGTCAATTTCTCCCACCTACACATCCTTATAGAAAAAACTGCACTGCTTTTTTTTTTTTTAAAAAAGAGCAGAAACTCGATTGCCTCCTCCAATATTGACGGGCCATCAACTATGGGAGCAGGTTAAGGAGATTCCAAAGTCCATTGATCCAAAAATCCGTTCGACAAAATCAAAAAAGGTTAAGACAGGGTTGCATAAGCAAAGCATCTTTTGGGAGCTTCCTTATTGGAAAGATTTGTTGATTCGACATAATTTAGATGTTATGCACATTGAAAAGAATTTTTTTGATCAACTCATCCACACAATAATTAATGTGAAAGATACCGCAGTTGATACAGATAAGGCTCGCCTAGATGTTCAGCAATATTGTAAGCGGAGTAGCTTAGAGCCTATTGAATCTGATGATGGGAGCTTGATCTTCCCAAAAGCACCATACACTCTAGATAAAGCACAACATAGAGTGTTGTGTGAATGGATAAAAGATCTTAAGTTTCCAGATGGATATGCTTCTGATTTTGGTAGATGTATAGATTTGCAAGCCTGTAAGATACATGGAATGAAAAGCCATGATTGTCATGTGTTCATGGAAAGGTTGTTGCCCATTGCAATGAGAGAACTTCTTCCTGATAATGTTTGGAAAGCAGTCACTGAAATCAGCCAATTTTTTCGCGATCTATGCTCTTACACAATTAAAGTTGATGATGTGACTCGTTTAGAAAAAAACATTCCAGAAATCTTATGCAAGTTGGAGAAAATATTCCCACCTGCATTTTTCAATTCAATGGAGCATTTACCTGTTCATTTTCCACATGAAGTAAAAGTGGGTGGTCGTGTGCAATACAGATGGATGTATCCATTTGAGAGGTAATATACATTTTCCTAGTCCACTCCATTGTTTTCAAGTTTCTTCTATATGATTTATAATTTTACATGTGAATGAGTCAATTTAACTTATTTTGTAGATTTCTTAATCATCTGAAGAAGAAAATTGGTAATAAGGCACGAGTGGAAGGCTCGATTTTCAAGGCTTATCTTGCAGAAGAGATTTCTAACTTTTGTTCTTATTACTTTCAACCTCATGTTGATACGAAATCTAGAGATCTAGGACGCAATGTTGTTGATGATGATGATCTAGATTCAACTATACCAGAATTATTCCAATTTAGCAAAGGTCGTGGCAAAGGTGTCCAAACAAGGTTCTTAGATTCGAAAGAAGTCAAGCATGTACACCACTATGTTCTTTCCAATTGTGGGGTGTTAGGAGGATATGAAAGGTACAAATTCCTATAATTGGTAGTTATTTTATGCAATTTGCTAGATAATTAACGTTTTAAGGTTTATAGGAAGTTTGAAGAGTCGATGATGCAAAAATATCCTGGTATTGACCTACATGATATTTGGAGCAAGTTTTCACATGAATTTTCCAAATGGTTTCAGGATTTTGTAAGTTTTTACGATCAAGTTTCGATATATCATTCGCTAAATATGACTAAGGTTATATATTTTATTAATTAATGGCTTGAATTTGAAATTAGGTTATCGAATATAATGAGACTGATGAAGTGATTCGAGCACTTGCCATGGGTCTGTCTAGACAAGTCAAAACATGGAGGCAATTTGACATCAATGGCTTTAAGTTTCACACTTTTGATTATGGAAAGCACAAGGCAACTATGAATTATTGTGTGGGTGTAATAAGTGAGGAGGAAATTGATTACTTCGGCATTTTAGAAGAAGTCATTGAGCTGGTCTACTTGGGGACCGTAAATGTCATCAAAACCGTCTTGTTTAAATGTAATTGGATGGATTCAGTGAATGGCATGAATATTCATGAGCAGTATAGATTAGTTGATGTAAACCACTCTAAGAAATACCCTGCATATGATCCTTTTGTTCTAGCACATCAAGTTTATCAAGTGTATTTTACCTCTTATCCAAGCTTAAAGAAAGATAAGAGTCAATGGTGGGCTATTTTTAAGACTAAAGCTAGGTCAAGTGTGGATGCTGAGACCCCAACCCTTTGTTCGTCGGATGATGATGATGGTGTTATGTACGAGGATATGGATGAAATGGAGGAGGACGGCTCAGGTGGTGAAGAGGAAGAACAACATGAAGAAGATGAATGGGATGATACTGAATCTTAATCTGAAGAAGAGGTTGATGGAGAGTTAGGATATATACTGACAGCGATGACGAGGATGATGATGATGATGATGTGGATGAAGAAGAAGAATAATTTCTAAGCTTGTAGTTTTCAATGTGTTTTCTTTGTTATGGGCTTATTTGTTTGATAGACAATGTGTTTATCTTATTTGTTTGATATATGATAAATGTTTTAAAATTTGTTGATCATATTTGTGAGCTTACTTTTTTAATTTTTTTTTTATTATGGGTTATTATGTATAAATTAATTATTGTGCTTCTGATCTTTCTAGTTCTTTGGAAATGAAATCCTTCATGAAAAATTTAAAATTTGGCCGAGGAGGTAATCAAGGCGGTGTCCGAGCCAATAATCAGTCGGTTGATCAAGAAAATCCTGTGGTCACACGACCGACACCACCACCTTCTAATGAACAAGTACAAGTAAATTCTAATGCTGATGTTGCTGTTGAGAATGATGTGGCACCACAAAATTTGAATGGAGTGGAACAAGGAAAGATTGAGCTCTCACCAGATGGGCTATGGTTAGTTATATTTATCTATGTATTATATTTGTTGTCTTAGTAGCTTATTATCATTATTTATGCTTGTACTTAATCTTTCTTGCATCAGGTTTGATGACCATACCGTTAGTGGAAATGTCACAAATCCTTGGAAGGCACACTACAACCACCCATACATGAATTTTACTGAGGTGCCACTTATGGTTAGGGATCGTTGGTTCACTGAGTTTAAGGTATGTTTAGAATTAAGTTGTCATCTTAGATATTTTTATAGTGTTAGTTATATTACCCTTGGAGTTGGAATCTGCAAAGAGGTGGTTATGATATCTTTGTTATGTATATATTGTTTATAGTTATATAGTTATATTTATTACGGAGTCTAGAAAAAATGGAAAAATTTGATTTAAGGCTAGAGATGACTCAATCTTGATAGGTGTCTTTCACATGCTACGAATATTACACCCTCTGACAGCCTAACTCAGTAGCCAAAACCACCCCCATTCGTGCTGCGAAAGCCTCTGCCATAGCCACACGGACCTGAGCACTCACATGACGAACCATCAGAGCCATAATGCTGCCATCAGAGTCCCTAATCACAGCCCCCAAGCTCACACCCCACCCTTCCAACACCGCTGCATCAGCGTTGATGCGCACAGTGCCAGCAGCAGGGCACCTCCAACAGCCACAACCCACAGCAGCAGCACTTCTAACCTCACCAGAGACAACATTCGTGTATTCCAACAGCCATGCCAGGTTTGTTTTAAGAAATTTTAAGTACCAATCCAAATGTGTAACCTCTAAATTTTATGGTAGGGCACGCTCTTTCGAATTTCGTTGTAGGATCTTGCTGAAAACTCTGTCTTTCTTGCTCCTATTTGCTACATCATTGCTAACTGTTTGAAAAATCTGTTATATGAGGAGAATGCTTCAATTTTATGTCTTGATTAGGTTACTTATTTATTTGCAGTGAATAAGCAGCATTACGTACTGTAGTTTTTCTAGCTATTTATGAGTGCAGTGTTGTGAATTTGACATAAAATTCTGAAGAATATTTTGCTTCTTGGCTGTAGTTCAGTTTGGTGTCATAGTGAATGATCTAGGATGGCTCATTCTTCTTCCTATTCTAAGTTTATTTTCATACATCCTTGTCCCAGCAACCTCTTCAAGCATAGACAATATTTTAGGAGGCTTCATGTTTAAAACTTTTGTAATACGCCCTTGCATAATAAGAAAATGTGGATTATTCACATTGAGCTGAATTGAATGGAAGAGGTTTTGTACCCTACTAGGTTGGGCAAGGTGCCCATTAATCAGATACTTGTTCCTGCCGCCAACCACAATCTGCAAAATTTGACCATAAGCATATAGCTCCTTGTAATTTCGATTTCCAAAAGCAATCTTAATAGCTCATGACATTATGACTCTTATGAGCAGTCGAAAAAGGTTGATAAATTACATGAAACCTAGGTTCAGACTGATTAATGATACAAACAAAATGCCACCAGAATAAATAGGACCTATTGGTTGATTTGGCTAGATTATAAAATGTCAAAGTGTTCATACTTGGCTAGATTATAAAATGTCAAAGTGTTCATACCCATATCAGAATGTCAAGAATCAACCACCTATGCTTGAACTAAAATAAACAGTTCGATTGACATACTCAAGCATACAGAAAAAAAAACACAAATTTAACTTAAAACTGAGCTAAAAACGAAAACTTTTAGAAAAATAATAACCAGGGAAAGTGATCAATTTACACTCCACTAAAGTTGGTATCTTTGATTTTTTATCAAGTGTTTAATTATTGAGAATCCAAGGCCTATCTTTTCACATGAATGAGACTAATGAGGAATTTGGAAAATACATAGAGAAGAGGGACAGCTGGAACAATGTGTAGTAATCTTTCATTTGTGAGTATAAACTTAGGTTACAGCTTATTAGAGTATTGATTCACGAGTTGCCCATGGTTTTCGTCATGCCAATATTTTAGTGTATCTTAATGAGATAGATCGTTAAACTTTGGTAGTTAATTGGGCTTTGGCTTACTATAATGTGATGTTGTGTAATATCCTGCACTCCTGCAGCCATATCAGGTTGTAAATTAGAAATAAAATTATTTATGTATAATATGCTATTTTGAGTTAAAATTATAAGCTTTACATGTCAATTATGTGCAGCGTACATATACTTGGAGAACTGAGTTCGATGCTAAGGCTAGGAGAGAATTTGACAAAAAAGCTGGGGACCGACTTAGGGGCACATTGAACCAAGTTTACAAAATGCCTCTCCATAAGGAAGTTAGTTTCATGACTGACACTGTTCGAGCTGAATTCATAAATAAGCGTAAGCATCCTTATTTTCTGAAACGTTCTAACCAAGCAAGAGATAATCGGTTATCTGGTCAAACATTAGAGAAGTTTGACCCTGGCCATCGCCAAGGTAGCGTATCTACTCCTCAAGTGGTTAAAAAAATGGTAAGTGTATGATTTTAGCAGCTAACTTGTGATTTTATATAAGATTGAAGCAAGTAGAAAATTTTTAGCCACTAAGAGATGATAATAACTAGTCTTTATTACAATTGCTCTGTAGTCTATATCCCCTATTTTTTGTTGTATTTCTTTTAGTGCTAACAACTTCTTCTAATACAAGGCAAAGAAAAAGGATGGAATTTTACCAACTGCTGCTGAAGTTTATGAGAGCACTCATTCTCTTTGTGTGGGCAATGATGAAGTTGAATTGATGGGTGACAAGTCTCAAAAAGTCATGGTATGAGTATATTTCTATATTTTGCTAAGATTACAAAAAAAAAAAAAAATATGTGGTAGTTAATGTTTGGAGATATTATAGATTTTTTATTTGTTTATGTGATTGAGTTGGAGGATGAGAATGATTTGCCGGCATTAATCATATGATTAATGTGGTATGGCACAATGTGAATTGAGACAGGTTTATTTTGAAGCCATACCCTATAGGAGGGGATTCTTCAATTTACAAAGGAGACTCTGTCGAAATTTTTACTAATAACTGCTTACATAAATTATTTTGCTATTAGTGTTACCTTTTTTATTTAAAAAAAAAACATTAAATTATTTGTTACTCTATTAGCTGCTCTAAAGCAATTAAATTAAATTGTGTTTTAGAAGTCCAAACAAGTTTTTATCCCGGACGATGTCCCGAGTCATTGCTTGTATTTTTATTATAGTTGTTTTTTTTAAATGTATTTAGTTTATTTAAGTTTTAACATTTGAGATCATAGTTACTAATACATATCTTAATGCAGGGAGAATATATGGAAAAACTTGAGGAATATAAGAACAAAGGAATTGAGATAAACCCCGACAAAGTCTACTTGGAGGTTGTATGTGGGCAAAAGAAAGGAAAAGTCTACGGTTGAGGGAGTGCTTCACAAATGTATTACAAGAGTGATCCTACTTCTCAATCTACTTCATCATCTTCCACTCCTTCCATGATTTCTCAATTAAGTTCTCAAGTTGAAGAACTAACGAAGATGGCGGAAGAAAACCATAACAAGGTAGAAGAAAGCCAAAAAATAGCGACAGAGAGCTTAAAATGTGCTAAGGAATTCGTCGAAAATCATGAGATCGAAAAAGCTACATGGAAGAAGGAAAAATTAGCTATGCAAAAAACATTGCAGGAAATGGCATCACTTGTAAAACAAGTTGACCGTCCATATAAGCCTCCTACGCCTGCAGTCACCCGCTCTCGTGATACAACTAAGTGATTTTTATTTTCTTGGTGGTAATTTTTTGAACAACTGGTCTTTTACATTGTCATTAATTCTTGTTTGAAGTAGCTTTTTTTTATATGGGAGGTGATTTTTGGAACAATTAGTCTTATAAGTTAAATATTGTTTTTTAATACATTGATACAAAATTGATTGAAATTTTGGATATTTGAATAAAATTAAAATTTAGGTTATTTGAATTTATGCGTGGGTACCTTTTTTGCTTTTGTGATTAATATTGTTTGTCGCTTAATTATGGTCTCAAATATTGATAGTAAGTCGCAAATATTTAGCGACTGCAAATTTGGTTTAGAGACTAATTGGTTAGTTGCAAAATCATTAGTCTCAGTAGTCGCTAATCTGTCACAAATAATTAGTTTTGTAGTCGCAAAAATTAGGTCTCGTATATAGTTGCTAATCCGTCGCAAAAAACATTAGTCTCAATAGTCACAAATCCGTCACAATAAAACTAGTCTCCGTAGTCGCAAAAGTTTAGTCTCGTAGTCGCAAAAATTTGGTCTTGCAGTCGCTAATTCGTCGCAAAAGTAGTCTTAAAATATTGATCTCTGTAGTTGCTAATCCGTCGCAAATATATTACGACGGACAATAATTTAGGTGCTAAAATTTGAAAGTTAGTCGCTAAATGGTAGTTGCAAAGGCGTTGCAAATCTGTCGCTAAATTTGCGACTGTTCAAAAATTAGTCGCAAAAATGGATTTGCGACGAGGTCTTTGGCAACGAACCAAAGTAGTTGCAAATCCGTCGCATATCCATTTTTGCGACGGATTTGCGACTACTTTGGCCGTCGCTAATTACCCTTTTTCTTGTAGTGTGGATCAAATCATTGCATTTGCCGCATTTGGTATGTTATTAATCAAGTTCTAACATGTATGAGCACGTTTTAGGCCTAATTAGTAATAGGACAAGGATCTTATATAACTCGGTCTCAAATATGGGTTTTAACTTACTTCATAATGCATTTCGTAGTGCATAAACACTTCAACTTTGATCTAGCATGAAGAAAAGGTTTTTGTAACAACATCACACTTCCTTTCGGGACAAGAGGCGAAAAGTAGGTGTCAACAGTTAGCCCCCACTTTGATCAAGTCTAGAACAGACGATGATCACAGTAGTCAAGGAAATAAATCTGAGACTCGATCTGCAAAGTTCCCTATGAATAGAGAATCTTTCCGTAATATTTAAGGACGTCGAAAAGATCCTTGATTTGCTAAGTGTTCGAGACAAGTAGCTATTAAGGCAAGAAAAAATATTTTCTAGTCTTAGCGCGCTAAAGAATGTAGATTGATTCTTTGCAATTGTAGAACGCTTTTACAAGTAAAGGTAGTATGGGTGATGTCACGCCATGAGAAGAAATCGGTTTAAAAAGGATTAAAGGGATGATATCTTCTCAGTCATGTCATCGTTGGTCTAAAGTCCCATGATACGTCATTGAAATTTTAGTTTGATTTTAACAAGTTTGAAAAGATAATAAAAGAGTGTTTTGGCTTTCACAGCCTAAATGATTCGGCTTTCACAACCTGAATAAAATTCTCGACAATTCGCTTGTCAAAACGCAATACTCGCTGTCCACAAGATAGAAATACATGTCTCAGGACTGGAGGCATATATCCAAATCCAGTGAGAGAAAAGAAAATCGGCAACTCTCTCAGCAGTTTTGTCCACAAGATGAGTATACGTGTCTCAAGACTTGGGGAACGTGCCTACATAGATGCGACATTGCACATCGCTCTTTATACAGGGGGTGGACGACACCCTAATTGTTTGGTAAGCCATTAAGCTCGCTAACTACCATATTTGCTTCTAATAAAGAAGTGTATGTTCTCGAATGGTTTGGCACGCCTGTCGACTCTTGAGCTAACGCCTAAAATAAATTATAGTAATTCTACCTTTTAGTTACGAGAGCTAGATCTTGTTAAGTTGGGAAGATGTGATTTTTTATGGAACATCTACGCCATACATTTTTACGCTGTATGATAACGCCTTATAATTTTACGCCGTATGATAACGCCATCCTTTTGGATTTGGAGGTGAAAAAGGAAGAAAAGACTAGATATTTATAAAGTCAGTACAATAAAATGACAAACCTTTCTATGGGAGCTTTTATGTAAAGCACCACTACGGAACGTCTTAAGGCACTCTTACAAAAAACGTTCAAAACGTATGCTTAAGGAAGGCAAAAAGCACGCGTTGCATGCAAGATGATGCAAAAGCCTTTTTAAGAAGAAAAAAAACTACTTGATGCAAAGCAATTAAAAATATTTTGATAACTTGCGCGTCATTACGTCTAATGACGAACAAAAAGCCGTTAAAAATTGATCAAAAACTGAATGCCGGTCATTTAAGTGACCAGTATCTACACGCAACTTAGTAGGTCGTGCTGGCAGGCGCGCGCAAGAAACTAAGTTACGCTGGGACGCCACGCGCAACTTGATACGTTGCGCACAACATTTGAATTAGTAAAAGAGTTGAAGAAGCGCGATCTGCATCTCACTTTCTTCTTCTCCTCTTTCTCCAATTTTGATCTCTTTCCATTTTTTGGTTGTCGTTTTAAAGCTAAGGAAAGTAAATCTTGCTCCTTTTATTTTACCAGACTCTGATCTGGGTTAATAAAATGGAGAAATCAAATGAAGAATCCTAACTTGAAGTTGGGGTTTTCAATTTGACTTGTTTTCATGAATTTGTTTGTTTGTTGTTGTGACATGTTGAAATGTATTTGCAACAAATTTAATGTGAAGTGGTGAAGTATTGATCCTGTATGAGCATGTACAAGTATATTTTTAGTTTATGCTTGAACTTTAATTCTTATTTTTTGCTCAAATAGACTATACTTGTTAATTTTAATGTAAATTGAAGTGTTTAGAACAACAATTATGCATTAAAGTTATAAATGAAATTTTGAACTTTGATAATAGCATGAAATTGTTCTTGCGACTCATGTTTACTTTTTTTCACGCGTAAATTGCGAAATTGGTTTTATTAATGGTAAAATAACTGATGGTTATTATTATTCACTTATAAAACTGTGATTTCAAGATTTGCACAAAACTAGTTAGTTTAGGAAATTCTTGAAGACATCATCGAACTAGAGTAGTTTGGCCATACATTGGGCTTTTGAGCCCCTATTTTATGTTTTTCAAATATTATAATCCCCAATGTTGGGTGACTTCGATGACTTACTTGTTTGTTTTTAATAATTAGACCCTTTCATGTTGCTTGATCTATAAAAACTTCTTTTTTTTTCTTTCGGTTTGGGTTCATTGATAGCAGAATAGCCTTGCTCTCTCTATAGGGGCGCTAGCGCTTTACTAATAGAAAAAAAGGGGCCTGAAAAACGTAATAGGCTGCTACTCTAGGCTCGCTTCGCTTTTCAAGCCCCGTCCATGCGGACGTCCTGCTTGATACAAGCAATCAGTAGAAAATAAGACAATAGGTAGAGGCTATTAGTCAAGCGAGGGATTCCCTTAGGAATTTAGTGAATATGATACCTTCTATTCTATTGATCTGGAATTGGGCCAATACGATCGATAGGTAATGTAGTCGCCTTTTCAAGGAATGGGCTAGAGGCTCGAGAGACCTCTATCCACGTGTGGACTAGACCGATTGAAAAGATTGGAAGGTCGGGTCAGGCAAAAAGACGGGTATGACTCTCCTAGAAGAATGGACGTGTAGAAGCATCTCGATTAGTTTATACCATTTGTAATTGGTAACGAAAAGGATTGTTGATGCTCTGCTTGTACACAAAAAGTCGAATCCGGCTTTTTCTTTTTATTATTAGGAGTATGCCAGGTACTGATTTTGGATGATCATAGGCCCTCAGATAATGATTGTGTCATTGCATGATGACCCGAAGTCTTAGTGTGCCTGACAAAGGGGCTTAAAAGAATGAACTGTTGAACTAGCTCGCGCGGAAAAGATATATTTGTTAGTAACGAAGAAAGTGCTAATCTCGCAGTCAACTGTTAAGAAGCGGCGGAGAGAGGTGTAAATTATGAATCAGCAAGCCTTCCAACAAAGGATTTCGCAGTGGAGATTTGGTGATAGGCCTGCGTTGGCACATAAAATAAAGACTTTCCAACCCGACCATTCAAGGGTTGTAATAGCTAAAGCTATGCTTTTGGAAATAGACAAGATTGAAGCTCCTTGCTTGGGTTCGGTTATCATTAAATGTATAAGGCCACTTTGGGTATTGAAGTGAAGATACTTGCATAAATAGAAACTTCGGGCGTAGAAGAAAAGCCTTTTCTGATACGTCAAAAAAAGAAGCCGATTCTACGCCGTAAAGGAAGTGTGTGCCCAATTACAAACCAGGAGGTGGTGTTCATCAAGCCCTTTCTCCGGACTTAACCTAGACCTTTGTCCGGCCTAAAAACCCTTTCTATCTAAGCTGGAGTTCCATGGCTCCTCACTTAGAGAGCACCCCAACCCCATTTCCGTTCGGGTGATAAAATAATAGAATATTCACCGACATATCCGATTTAGATAAACTGCGCCGGGTAGAAGACTCAAGGGCCGTAAGGCTTAAGTCTCGCTAGAGACGCAGGGTTTGATAGTATAGACGCCGGGAAGAAGAAGGCAGTAACTTCTCTGTATTCTATGTAGCGTAGCTATTCCTTAACCTGCTTGATGGATCGGAGGATATCGCCACTTTTCGTTTACGGATTTTGCTTTGTATTTCCGATCTTAAATTTCGTAAGAGAAGAAAGCAAAGATTGGTTCTAGTTCTACTTTTCTCAATTTCATTGATGAAGTATTTTTTGCATTCGTGGCTTGAACAAGAAAGCGGTGGAGCCAAAGAGCACCTTAGTAGCGCTCCGAAACGGGGCCGGGGAGCCAGTTTACCCGCCGCCTACAATCACCACGAATGCTATTTGGATGAAAGAGAGACAGTGGGGTCTTTAGACTCAAGTAGAGTATCTACGCCGGAAGAGAAAGTCTTTTTTCAACAAAAGTAAAGGAGGGGATGAATAGCAGATGATTGAGCTACACCCATTTCATAGCCCTCCATTGGGAATTGTCTCATTGATAGAAGAGATAGCCGGCAAAGAAGGAAAAAGAAGTTTCCATCTCAAGTGAAAGTGATCGCAAATTCGTGTTCCGGGGTTTTCAATTTATAGACTACTAGCAGAGGTCTTCATATAT